GAATCTAGAAAGGGCCTCGAGGAAACTTCAGGACAAGGCTACTAGTGGGCATCAGCTGCCCAGGGGATGTATTTCTGGGCTGTGTGTCTTCCTTGGTATTTTGTTTAAAAATAATGGCTTCAGATTTAAATCTAGCACCTATAATTTATTATTCTTTTGTAGCTAAATCAAAGCTTAATCAAACCTCCTTAGTTGACTTTTCTAGAGGCTACCATGCTCACCATAAGAACGACTCAGTTCAGTCCTTAATGCATTAAGGTGACATTCTAAATGAAATACAATCTACAGTAGTCAAAAAACAGGGCACGAATAGGGCAGGCAGAGATAGAAAGTCCTCCTCATCTCCAGTCCCTTGGAGGAAGGAACACTGGTTGCCACACAGATAAAAAGAATTGGTTTTATTGTTAATTAATAGTAAATGTTAATTCACAGCAATTTGTGCTGTGTGGGATGGGTAAACAGACACAATGATGATAAAAATTCAGACCAAAGCACAGTAAGACCTGAGGTCTACTTTATCTATTACAAAATGGCAAAACATCTTCTCCCTCATATGTGGATCTCCTTCTACAATGTATAGATATGTAAACAGCTGTAAGTGTGGGTGTAGTATAACATTTAGAAAGGCAACCAAAATAGGGTAATATAAGGTAATGAGGAAGGACAAAATGCAGGCAAAAGGACACATGAGTCATGAAGGAAGATATAAAGCTAAAAATTGTTTTTCTAGTTTCAACTCTGTCATTTTTTTTTTTGTGTGGTGGATAAGTACATAAAATGCAGTTGATAGTGAAAGTGTAAAACCCTAAGTGAAGCTCCCCAGCTTCAGAATAGCCATTCTAGCTATACAGACATTCACTGAGATGCACAGTTTGGGACTGGGCAAGTGACTGTTTGAGTGGCTGTGTTAATCTAACTGTGTGATGTATTTATTTGTGAGTTCATAACAGTAAAGAGATTTTTAAAAATTAAAAGGGGAAAATATACTTAACCAATCACTTCTTCCTATATCATGGCCTCCATAGATACCATTTAACTTTTCTTCTGCCACAAAAGAAGATTTCACAGACATATTTCACTGTTAAATATTTTCTTGATGCTTTACATATAATTATCCCATATTTAACTCCTCACTATTACTTAGTAAAGTAATTTTACAGAAGTAAAATTCCTAACTGCGGCTCCGCACTTTTTTTTTTAAAGACAGGGTCTCACTCTATAGCTCAGGCTGGCCTTGAAATCATGCTTTTCCTGATTATTTTCACCTTCTAATGTTGGGATTCTAAGTGTGTGCCACCACTCTCAGCTCTCTGGATTTTTTTTTTTAAGCCTTAAGAACAACAATTTAATAGAACTTAGAAAGTTAAAGCCTGACACATTTGTGGGTTGCTGTAACTTACACAATGTTCTTCCATACACAGTATTACAATTGTTCCCAAATAAAACCATATAAGCAAAATAGATTACCTTCCTTAGACTTACCCCCAAAAGTAATGACTATATTTATTTTTGGTTGTTGTCAGTTCACAGCTAGAATGCAACCTTTGTAGAATGTGAGGAGATGGTCCTTTTGGTTTCAGTTGAATCCACAGAGCCTAGCACTGTGTCTGGCACACAGTTGCTGTTCCACAAATGTTTGCTAAATGTATAAATAAATTATCTTCATTACTTTAAGTCTGTTTGGTAAAAGGCAGATAAGAGAACTGTGACCCAGATATCCTATTTACAGTTCAGTAATTTGCTCAATATCAAAAGAAAATTAACTGAAAATCCTCCAGAACAGCACAGCTTTTACTAAATAATGCTAAAAATAAAAATGTAGTGCCCTCCAGTAACTTGAGGAAACTGATATATATTAAATGTTCACTATCCAAAGTTTCAAGTCTTCCACCACCAAGTTTAAACAGCCTTCACTAGTTCTGTTATAATAAATATTTGCCTAACCAAGTATTTCAGGAGGTGGGAAAAGCAGGGTCATAGTTCACAGAGCTTTCAAGACTTTATGGCAAACCCTCCTTTACCTTAATTTGCTTCCAATTTGACTACAAACCCTCAGTTTTTAATAAAAATGACATTTTTACAGGTAAATCAGTCTGAAACATGTGGAATTATTCCTAATTTTTGAAGGTCAGCAGAAAAAAAAGACAATTCATTGAGAATTAAATATGTAAATGTTTAATTTTAAGAAGCAATTACAAATCATAACAGACAGGATCTCTTGGCTCTAAGAGCAGGCCAAAATCTAACTTCTTACACAACAAAGGAGGCTGTAAATGATAATCATTCACTAATTATACTGAAATTCTGGACTTTGCCCCATCAATCAATAGATGTTCCAAGTTACCCCCTAGTTGCCAAGTCCTAAATATTCCGTTTGCTTGGACCGGTCGTAGGAAAGACTGTTTCCAGGATTCTTTAAGTTTCTCTTTTTGTGCCACTATCCAAAATAGGGGGGGGGGGACGAACGGGAAAATCAGAGAATCCTGAACTTGTGTGAGTGACTAAGTTAAACAGTCACATTTGGAGCTCTGCCCTGGCCAAGCTGTGTACCTCTCTGTCTGCCATCAAGCCTTCCACCTTCTGTACACACAGCCTGTTTCCAGACCCCTGCCTGCACCTGCCCTTAAGCACCAGAAGCGCAAGCTGCTAACTTCAAATGTTATTTGCAGTCGACGTAAAAACTAATAAATGACTGCAGGCTTGCAGGCAACCTCGGCGATTCCTGAAAATCCTCAACAGGAAATGTAACTATCCTCCACCCTCCGGAGCCATTCATCAAGAGCAGCCAGAGTCCCAGTCACAGGGAGGCCAGTGGCAGAAGGCAAAGGCCAGCACTTTTCCTCTCTGAAAAGACATAACCAAGGACGAGGAGCACTAGCCAGTGCCCACACTGGAGGGAGGAGGGAGCGGGACACATCCCCAAGTTTCAAACGCAAGCAGGGAGTGCAAGCCAGCTCGCTACTTCGCGACAGCCTCGACTGCCAACCCCAGGGGTCGGCTTTACAGTCGACCACCACCGGTCTTGCCTCTACCGGCTGACCCCGGCCTCTCACCTGGTGCCCGAGCGCGGTCCTCGCTCCCGGCTGATGCTGCCAGCCTCCTTCCCTTTCCTGCTTCTAAGGGGCGAGGGGGTGAGGGTGGCAAAGGGTCCGGGACCCGAGGCCCAGAGGAGGTGCGGGCCGGGCGCTCCCGGGAGCGGCTGAGCGACGCCGGGGCCCTGTGCACTGGTGGAGGCTCGGCGGGCCACTCCAGGGCGCCGTCCCCCAGGTCGGGCGGCGGGGACCGGCCGGGCGCCGCGATTGGCCGCGGCCAGCATCGCTCGCTGGGAGAGCCGGGCCGGCGAGGCGGAAAGGAAGTAGCGGCCGCTGCTCTGCACCAACCGCGTTCGGCCGGCGGGCGAATGTCACCCGGCGCCGGGAGCGGGTCGGAGGGCACGGGGCGGGCACTCGGGTCCCCAGCGCGTCCCGGGGACCCCGAGGGCTCGCGGCCCCCACCCCACCCCGGCCCGGGGTGCCGCTCGGTCCCCGGAGGCTCCCCGCCCCCACCTCGCCCGCTCCGTAGCCGAGGCGGGTCAGGCCCAGCGCGCCAGGCCGAGAT